GGGATTCGAACCCGCCACCTTAGGTGTATGTGGCTGGCGCCTTAGCCGCTTGAGCCACAGGCGCCGAGCCTGGAGGTCCAATCTTAAAGTACGATGTGTGTCTCATTGCTGGCCAAGTGATGAGACTCCATATATAGAAAGTTTATTAGTCAGAATGGTGACATCCTATGGGAGCTAAGTTAATTCAGCCTGACAGAATTTTGATTCTTCCAGAGCTATGGTGCCTGAGCCTGGACACACATCAGAATCACCCAGGGAACCTTTTCAAAATGCACATTTCTGTGCACTACTCTAGATCCACCAAATGCAAATCTCTGGGATTGGTACCCAGAAATCTTTAATTTTGGAAGATTGCCCAGTTGATTCAAATGCACAGGTGGATTTGGAAAACACTATTGTTTTGACTACTAAGTGAATGATGTGTTCATCTATAGCAACCTTATTTGCATAGAGAAACTTACTGTGTCCATTCCCATGTAAGGACTCTGTTAAAATTAATAACAACCACCACAAATCTATCATTTTAATCAAAAGTATCAGGGCCACAGTACAATGGCAGTTGAAGCTAATTCTTACCCCTTCATGCCAGCCAATCACTTACATCCCAGGCCCTCTTTCCGATTCACCAAAAAGATGTCAGGGCCTCAATTCAGTATTTGCTTGTGTGCTTTCCTCAGAATGTCTGTGCCATGTCTTTGCTTTCCTAAAATACTTTAAATGACCGTCCAACCATAATGAAAAGTTTGTCTTGATTCACTTTCAGTTTTCAATTCAGTATCTAATGTTGTGTTTCATATTTTCCCAGAATATCCGAGGCACGTGCTTGCTGTCATACAGTAGCTCTAATGACTGTCCTCCAGGAATGAAAAATTTGTATCTGTGTGAAGCCAAAGAGGCCTTTGAAATTGGCCTCCTTACCAAAAGAGATGATGAGCCCGTGACTGGAAAACAGGAGCTTCACAGTTTTGTCAAAGCTGCTTTTGGTCTCACCACAGTGCACAGAAGACTCCATGGGGAGACAGGGACCATCTGTGCAGCAGGTCAGCTCTGCAAGGAAGCCATGGAGAAGTTGTACACTTTCAGTACCTCCTCCAGAAGTCAGGACAGAGAAGCTTTGTCTCAAGAAATCATGTCCGTGATTGCCCAGGTGAAGGATCATTTGCAAGTCCAAAACTTCTCAAATTTAGAAGAGCGATCTTATGTTCCAGAGAGTTTCAAGTGTGGATTGGATAAGCCTTTCTTGCATGGGCAGGTGGATTTCCAAAAAATCCTTGAAACCTACTCACAGCACCATACTTCAGTGTGTGAGGTATTTGAAAGCAGTTGTGGAGACAACAAAAATAAGCAGAAAGATATAAAAACAGGAGTCTGTATCACTGCTCTAAAAACAGAAACAAAAAACATAGATACAATGACTACTACTCAAGACAAACCACTCTCTCAAAAGAGTATGGGGATATCTTCCTCCCACCTGGCTAGGAATAGTCAGGAGAAACTCAGAAGGGTAGAAAGGAGAAACTGGACCCATTCTGATGCTTTTCGAGTCTCCCTGGATCAAGATGCAGAGTCTGAGACTGAGCCACCAGACCCTAGCAGTGGTGGGGGAGCTATTTTGAACAAGTCTCTGAGTGACAGCCAGACCTCAAGTTCTTGGAGCAAGTTATCAGGATTTAGTTCTTCCACCAGCTGGGAGGAAGTGAATTATCCTGTTGATGGTAGGTCAACAAGAAAAGAACCGAGCAAAGAAGAACATCTTGTGGACACTCAGTGTTCCACTGCCTTGTCTGAGGAGCTGGAGAAAGATGGGGACGGTAGAGCTGTGCCATTGTGTTCAGAGCTTCATGGTCTTTCTCTCCAAGGGGACAATGTAGAATCTTCTCAAAGTCAACTAAATAAGCACATGCCCTTGACAACCTTTTCTTCTCATAATACAGCAGACACTTTGTTGGCCTCTGATGCAGGCCTGTTAGAAGGAGCTCTAGCAGATGTCCAAGAAGTCAGAAATAGTGGACCCAGAAATAATTCTGCCCACTCCAGACTCTCACGTGGTTCTGCTTCTTGGTCTTCTTCTGGTTCTGGTAGGCTCAAGAAGATGGTCACATATCCTTCCTTTCAGGAAGAAACCTTTGAAATCATTGATGAGGTTCCAGAAACTAACTGTGATGCCAAAGAGAGGAGTAGAGAAGAGAAGGGAGAAGAAATCAATGAGAAAGGCACAGGCCCCATATCTAAAAACAGCCCCAACTGGGTTGACCCAGAAGGAGAAACAGCAGAAGGCACAGAAGATGCACCCTTAGACTTTCCTGGAGAAACGGACAATTACCTGGGCAACAGTTCCATGATGGCATGTAGCTCTTTCACCCCTGTTGAAAATCCTGACTCAGGAAAGAGTGGTGGCTCCCTTACTTATCAGGACATTGACCCTGATGCCCCCACTGAGGATGAGAAAGGCCAAGTACTCAACAGCACGGATGTTCACTCCACAGGCGGATATGGCTCTCATAGACCGTGCACTCTGAGACAGCCACCTGGTCAGAGGGCTGAGACCCCCCATTCCTCTGTGAGCAATAACGTTCTTGTCCCTGTCCTCGGTGAGGACTGTACTACCACAGAGGAAGGAAATGAACCTGGAAATGTGCTAAACTGCAGCCAGAACTCCAGCTCATCCTCAGCGTGGTGGATGAAATCACCTGCATTTTCCAGTGGTTCTTCTGAGGGAGAAAGCCCATGGTCCTGTCTGAATTCCAGTGCAAGTTCTTTTGTTTCATTGCCAGGAAAGACAAGGCAAGAGATTCTTGAGGCGCGAACCTTGCAGCCTGATGACTTTGAAAAACTCTTAGCGGGAGTGAGTCATGATTGGCTTTTTCAGAGACTGGAGAATACAGGAGTTTTTAAGCCTAGTCAACTCCACCGAGCACACAGTGAGTATAACCTTTTTAGTTGGTACACCATCAGGAAGTATCTATGTTGGGGTCTTCCAAAGAGCTTGTCATGTAGATGACATAAAGCTCATGAAAGATGCAAAGACCTGGTATGCTTTGTATGTTCACAGACAAATGTATACTTTGGGGGCCTCCCTTACTCTGTGTATGGTGTACCTTAATGGTTGCAAATAATAGAGATTTGCTCAGGCTACCTCACATACTGGAGGTTTGCTCTAAGGACACCTGAGATAGTGAGGAAGATGGTAATCTTAGCGCACTCGGGCACAGCCATCATTCAGGGTTTAGAACAGCTCTTGAGGCCCTCTTACCCACTCAGCATCTGTCTGCTGCATTGGTTCGCATTAGCAACCTGCTGGTTTTGAGAGCTTGGATACCAAATTCTCCACTCAGCATCTGTTGTCCCCTTTGATTCTCTTTACCAACCAGTTCATTTCCCTCTATTTTTCCCCCATTCACATTCTAGGGGATAAAGTTGACCTAGTTAGATATCTTCCTTCAAGTGGGCAGAGATTTTTCACACCTGTCCACCCAGGTGGTTTCATGCCAGCCAGCGTAGTGATCAGGTGCCTCCTTGCCTTAGTCCATTCATGCCACTGTGACAAAATACCATCAACTCAGTAGTGTACAAACAACAGAAATTCCTCACAACTCTGGAGGCTGGAAGTCCAAGATCAAGGTACCAGCCAATTTGGGAACTGGCAAGAGCCCACTTTCTTGTTCCTTGACAGCCCCTTTCTCTGTCTTCACATGGTAGAGGGGTCTCTCTGGGTTCTCTTCTATGAGGGCATTAATCTTACCCATGAGAGCTCCACCCACATGGCCTAACCATCTCCCAAAGGTTCCACCCCCTAACACTGTCACCTTGTGGGATTAGGCTTTCAGCATATGAATTTGGGAGAGGGGAGGACACAAATATTCAGCCCACAGCACCCCCATTGTTGCAGTCAGCCACTGCTGCTTACTTAAGGAACAGCCCATAGCAAGGAGCTATGGGCTGGGGCCATTGAGCAGTCCCTGAGTCTAACACAGTTTAGAAATGGGAGAGAAGCTGGAAGGAAGACAGGAGATTCTTGTCTTGGCCCAGAGAATCACATCATAATGCCCTCACAACAAATAGAAGAATTATTTGAATGAGAGAAAAACTATTGCTATGTTCATCTCAGAAGAAACAAACTGCGTGGATTACTGAGCACTGGATACATCATAGTAGTTCTCAACTCTGTTACCATGAAGATCCCTAGAAGAGCTTTTTAAAACCTCCAATATCTAACCCCAGACCCAGAGATTTCCATCTAACGGGTCTGGGTTGCAGATCTAAGCTTCAATATTATGAGCTCTACAGTGATTCTGTTCAAAGCCAATGTTGAGAATTTCTGCTTCAGAGTATTCTAATGTTTTGTTTGCCTGTCAGATTAAAATACAGGTCAGATTGTTATCAACAAAAACAAGCTGGGCTCCTTATTGTGCTACTGTAGTTCCAGCTACTAGGGAGACTGAGGCAGGAGGATTAGTTGAGCCCAGGAGTTTGAACTGGGCAACATAACAAGGCATATTCTTTTTATTAAAAAAAAAAAAAAGCAAAAAAAACTTGTTTTAAAAGCACAATTTTCTGGTAATACAATTTCCTACTTACTGTGAGATGCTGCAATTTTGAAATCCTATTTCTTTGAAGTAGGCAACTGCTTTATTGTTACTTATTGTCATTATGTGCCAAGTTATGGATGAAAAACCACGTTGGAGGAAGCAAGGCCCTAAGTTGCAGAAACAGGACAATTATACCTTTCCTCCTTTCTTCTCGCAATTCCTCACCCTTCCTGTGTGTCAAACAGCTCACCTCTATTTTCATTCCAGCTTCACCCAACCCTGGTCGCCATCTTTCCCAGCTTAGTTATCCCTTTTCCAGACCTGTGGGTTTATCTCACTTTAAGCATTTTTTCTCTGCTGCATGTCCTTTCTACTTATCCATTAGAGATATGGGGGGTTTACGTCACTTGTTTACTTCATTTTAACTTTAACCAAAAATGCACTATTCCTTCCTTAGAGTTTATGGTTTTTCCACCTCAAAGAGATGTTTTCTTGCATAGCACTGTTTGAGGGGGAGACTGCCCTTCCTTTTTTTTCCCTTCTTCAGTAGAGTTTGCTGCTTTGTAAAGTAATTACGTTTTCTCAAGTGATTTCTGCACTTTCCCAACTTAAAACAATTGAAACACAATGAAAGTGTGATCATATGTAATCTGGGATCCCTGGAGCTGCCAGGGGTCGGGGAAGTAAAATGATTTAGTTTGTTTCTATGTCTGTGATCTGGGATCTCCAGAAACTAATAAGAAGCTTCTACGACTTGTCCCAGGGTGGTCTCTGGTATCTTCTGCTTTAAAAATCCCTCTATTTTCTACTACTTTTATATAGACACTCTGGTTTTATTTTAATCACTTGCCTTCACAAGTAAGAGATGTTGTGAATCAGAAGCCATTCTATGCTGCAATTTGTGAAGCATTACATTATTATTCATCACTGACTTTTTAATACTGTAGTAGTCACAGAAGAGGCCACATTTGAGAAGAATGTGTGAAGAGGTTGAAGGTTTCAGATGAGCTGGTTTTGGACTTGTATCACTCCAATTCCACTCGTGAATTGTAACATCTCTTTGAAAATAAGATCCTTTTTTTTCCTCATCTTTTTCCAGCTGCTCTTTTACTAAAATATTCCAAAACATCTGACCTTTGGACAGCACAGGAGACCACTGTGTACTTGGGGAACTACCTGAATGTGAAGAAGAAAGGCAGACAAAGAAATGCCTTTTGGGTTCATCATCTTCATCAAGAAGAAATTCTGGGGAGGTATTGCTTAAAAACATGTATATCACTAGAATAAAATGAGCTGTACTTGCCCTTCTGCTAAGTAATTACTTACGAGATCTTGAAAGGACTGAAAAATTGGCTAAAATGTATGTTTTAATATTTCTTCTCTTCCTCCTTATCATTAATTAATAACAGCTACCATGTACTGAGGACACACATTATGTTAGCTTTTCTGCTGCATGTTTTAGACAAATGATCTCATATCCATTAGGAGACATTATTAGCCATAATGTACAGAAAAAAAAAATAAGAATCTCTGAATATATCACAGTCCAGAGAGCCTCAAATACTCTCACTAAAAGTGCTAGCAAAAAGGCTAGTTAGACTGCTAAAAGGCACACTTTTACGTAAATGGGTAAATGGGCGAATCTGGAAAACAAAGACAGAAAAGTCCTCTGAGGCCAAGGATCAAGCATCTCAGGGATACAAGTGATTTCTGAAGCCTTCAAGGGTCCTCCATACAAGTCTGGGGCAGGGGCAGGGTTAGGAAGCAGCCAGTGACAGTAGCTACCCTTGGAAGAAAATGAGTTCAGAGGTCACCCATGGGACTCAGGAACAGCTACCTCCTTAAGGGCAAGGCTATTTTTAAAAATCCCATCCCACTGAAGCAAATGCCTAAAAAGTTTTCTGTTTGGCTATAGTTCTTAATGAAAAGTTTAAATAGAAACTCACCTGAAAATTGAAAATTTGAGGCCTAACTTTACACCATTTGTGTATTTAAAAGACCAATAAATCAAATGTTTCAATTTAAAATTAACTCCATTCCTTACCCAAATCCAAATAGTGTAGGAAATAAAAAGAAAGGAAGAGAAAGGGGAAAAAAAAAAAAGACAAATTGGGTGATTCCTTATTCAGTAAAAATTACATTTCTTGAAAAGTTTATTGATTGTAATAATAATTATAACAGAAACATGAAAATGTACTTACCAGGTGCCAGGCCCTATTTTAAATAACTCATATACTAATTCAATTAATCATCACAAAATCCTAAGAGGTAGAATCTATTATTATACTCATTTTACAAAGGAGGGAACTGAGTTACAGAGATGTTAAGGAACTGCCCAATGTCACACATCTAAGAGATGGAGCCAGGTGTTTAGGTTGAACTGTATCTCCAAAAATATATATGTTGAATTTCTCAGTAATTCAGACTGTGGTCTTATTTGAAAATAAAGGCTTTGCAGATGTAATTAGTTAAGATGAACTCATACTGGAGTAGGGTGGGCACCTAATCTGATATGACTGGTATTTTTTTTTTATTAATTTTTAGAGACAGAGTCTCACTTTGTCACCCTCAGTAGAGTACCATAGCATCACAGCTCACAGCAACCTCCAGCTCTTGGGCTTAGGTGATTCTCTTCCCTCAGCCTCCCAAGTAGGTGAGACTATAGGCGCCCACCACAACTCCCGGCTATTTTTTGTTGCAGTTTGCCGGGGCCAGGTTCAAACCTGCCACCTTTGGTATATAGGGCCAGCACCCTACTCACTGAGCCATAGGCACTGCCCCAATATGACTGGTATTTTTATAAAAAGAGAAAACTGAGACACAGACATGGGGAGAATGTCATATGAAAATTGGACCTATGCTGCCACAAGGCAAGGAACTACCTAAATTCAGGAGAGAGGCCTGGAACAGAGCCTTCCTCAATGCCTTCAAAGAGAGCATGGCCCTTCTGGTACCTTGGATTTCTAAGCATCAGAACTTTGGCAGAATCAATTTTTGTTGTTGTTTAAGCCACCAAGTTTGTGGCACTATCTTACAGCAACCCTAAGATACTAATATACTGGGATACATCACAGGAGAATTTGAAATGAGAAATAAATTGAGAATAAGAGACGAAGAGAATGGAATGAGAGCTTTCAACATTATCTGATCAGAAGAATATAAATAACAGAACAAATAGAATAGAAACAATACTCAAATAGATAATTTCTGTAATTTTCCAGAATTGCCAAAATGTGTTAATCTTCAAATACAGAAATCACAATAAATCCCAAGGAGGATAGAGGAGGGGTAAGAATTAAAAAGAAACAAAAAATGAAAGAAGGAAGACATCATAAATTCACTCCTAGTTATGCAGTAGTCAAACTTCAGAACATCAGGACAAAGAAAAAAACTTAGGGGTGGTGCCTGTGGCTCAAAGGAGTAGGGGACCGGCCCCATATACTGGAGGTGGTGGGTTCAAACCCAGCCCCTGCCAAGAAAAACTGGAAAAAAAAAAACTTAGAAAAGCAATCAAAGAAAAAAGACAGATTATATACAAAGAAATGTCAAGTAGACATACAGCTGATTTCTCAATAGCAACAATGGACATCAGAGAAAATGGAAGTAATATACTTTAGTGAAACTATCTTTCGTGGAGGAAGACAAATGACTGTGAGAGTTCACCATGAGCAAATCCAAAAAATTGTCCCGGAAAGGTGGTATAAGATGAGAAAAAGAATGGGCTTCTGTTCCCAAATTGATGATCCTATACCTAGCAATGGAGGTCCTCTGGCAGAATGTTCAGGAAAAACTCCAGTACCAGAACCCATAAGGTTTGCTCTTTGTGTACACCTCTGGCCTCAGTCAACAAAACTTTGAATTAGTTCAAACCCTCTGCAGGTCTTGAGTTCTCTCCACAACAGAACTGCCTGAAATACTAGTAGAATATCCCTGTTGCAACAGCTGCATCTCTGCAGGCTGTTTTCCTATGTCATATAGACCCCTGTTCTGCAGTCTCCTCTAGTAATCAACTATAAGATTTCCTTTCTGATCTTCTGGAGTCAGAATGACCAAAACCATAACCTCCTTGGATTCCATTATCACATTGGATTCAGGAAATTCTGGAGAGAGAGTTTCCTGGTTGGGGTCTGTGACTCAATTTCCTTTAATCCTCAGAAGTCACTGCATGCATGTGAAATTACTCATAAATTCACACCAACTTATAGCAAATATAAATTACAGTAGAGTGTAGTACTGAAGTGTTTCACACCTTTCCACACTTATTCATTTACTGCCTTGCATCTTGTCTTCCCTCTTCAACTGTGCTATATGCCCTTGAAATATACAGATTATATCTCACACATTCTTCAAGACACTCAAGGACTATCACAGTGTTTTTTCACATAATAGGTGTTGATTTTTAAAAGTATTTATATAAATGACATAATCATAAAAGGAAGGAATATAGAAAGGCTTCTATAATTAATTAATTAATTAATTGACCTGTATGAAGCCACACTACAGGGAGTGAAAGATCTAATTCCAGAGTCCATACACATTCTAGTACAACATGCTGACCCCTTTCTTTTACCAGAGGTCTGGAGAACTTCAACATTTATTAAGTGGACACTTTTCTTTTATAATCAATGTCATTCTAGGCTAGCTAGCATGAGCTATGTTCCTGTGTTCAGGATATTTTTATAAAATTATTGGAATCATAAATCAAAATAATTAAGATTGACTAAGGCAGAGAAAAAGTAACATTTTTCAAGCATTTTTTTGCATATCTCCTTTGAGTTCCTCTCTCTTACTCAATAGTAAGTAAGATCACTTTTGAATTTTTTTAGGGGGGTGAACAGAGTCTCACTATGTTGCCCTCAGTACAGTGCTGTGGCATCACAGCTCACAGCAACGTCAAACTCTCATGCTTCAGCCTTCCAAGTTACTGGAACTACAGGCACCCACCACAATTTGCCTGGCTATTTTTTTGTAGTAGTTGTCATCATCTAACTGGCCCAGGCCAGGTTCGAACCCACCAGCCTGGGTGTATGTGGCTGGTGCCTACCCACTAAGCTACAGGTGCCACCCTCACTTTTGAATTTTCTTGTGTGGTTTTCTTTCTTTCTTTTCTTTTCTTTTTTTTTTTTTTTTAGGTATTTAAAACTGTTTAATAGGCTCTGAATATACAGAGGACACAAGTTGAAAATGAAGCCAAGTTTTACACAACCATTTTGAGAATGAGCCACCTACATACTGGTGGGCTAAATATTTATCTGTTAATTCTGCAAACACTCATGCAGCACCTTGCTATGTGCCAATCAGGAGGTACTCTAGGTTCTGGATGACACACTGATGAACAGGATAATGCCTGTGACTTTAATGAGCCTCTGACAACAGAATGACAGAATGTTCAGCCCATTTGCTTGCATTGGCATAGTCCACATGGTAGGACAGGCAAGAATTAAAGAACTTGAAAGTGTTAAAAAAAAGCTTTTCTACTGAGATAGCAAAACATTGAATGTAAGTCACATAATTTGTGTTCTAGGTACTGAGGATTCAATGATGAAGAAGCTATTTTGTCCTGCCCTATAGAAGAAAGTTAGGACAAAAAAAAAAGATATTTTCTAAAAAAAATAGACCAAGAAAACAAAAAATAAACAAGAAACTAGAATAATTAAATAACAATCAACATGATTGATCTATATATTTAAATCATGAGGGCACATATATACTTTTCAAAATATGTAGAATGTTCTTCTTAGTAAAGTATCACAAGAATGGAAAAGCAAGTGTGCAACGAACTCAATTTTATTATGAAGCCAGTAGATGATGCCCACATAGGAGAAAAACGTAATTCTATTCAAGTTAGGGGGACGGGGGAATGAAGAAAGGGGGGATTGGTGTGGTCCCACTTAAAGGGCACAAGGTACGGGTGTAAGGCACACCTTTTGGGTGTGGGACACAACCTAACAAATTCAAAAATTATGACCTGATCATTTGTACCCTCACAATAACCTGAAATAAAAACAAAACAAAATAAAATACATAGAACATCACAAAAATTCACCATATATTTTGACAAAAATAAAAAACAACACAAGAATTCCTCAAAACTGAAATGGTACTGGTCAAAAAATGTTTGTCCACATGAAAATAACATTAGGAATAAATAACAAAAAGATAATTTTAAAAATGTTAGAAATTTCTAAAGATAGAAGAACCAAAACTGTATTTGTAAACCATTTAGAAATAAAAACAACAAGTGGACTACCTGTCAAACCCTTGGGACACAGCCAATACTATACTTGGGAAATTTTACAGACATAAATGCATTGATTAGGAGATAAAATTTTGGCAATGAATAAGCAAAGCATTCAACTCAAGAATCTGGGAAAAGGAAAAGAAAGTAAATTGAAGAGAATAGAATAAAAATCATACATTTACCATATAAAAATAATCAAACATAATGGAAATGGTAATAATAAATAAAACCTAAAATTTAGTCATTGAAATAATCAATAAAATATTTTAAAACACATGTCAAGTTATATCAATAAATAAAAGATAAAAATAATGAATGAGAAAATATTATATAAACTCAACTATGGAGAAGATTCTAAGATTCTGAGAGAATTCAGTGTATAACATTATACTAATAGATGTGAAAATTTTACCAAATAAATTATTTTCATAGACTATATGTAACAAGAATGACTCAGGAAGAGGTAAGAAACTGTAATAGACCCATAAAGATAGAAGAAAATGAGATTGTGATGAAAAATATATTCATTTAAAAAACACCAGAAAAGAACAATTTAATGGGTGATGTGTACCTATAGCTTGAGAAAAAATGGCTTCTATGTGTGTTTTTCTTTATTCATAGGTATGTTGGGAAAGAATATAAGGAGCAGAAGGGACTCTGGCACCACTTCACTGATGTGGAGCGGCAGATGACTGCACAGTACTATGTGACAGAATTTAACAAGAGACTCTATGAACAAAACATTTCAACGCAGATCTTCTACATCCCATCTACAATATTGCTGGTAAGATTAAATAAGTCAAA